AGGCTTTCCATCTATTAGTATATTGGAACTCATCCATATTATCTGCTGCATGTCTTTTTTCTGGCACATAAAATTGAAACCAGCACCATGAGTCGGTTGTTTCCTTTATGAACCCTGACATGTTTCCCAGCAGACTCTCTACATGTGGAAAATGGGATATTTATATTTATATATCTGTTTTTTGTCTAATAGTAAACTTGGTATCACTCATTGTTTATGTACATTTTCATCAATTCAGGAACGAAATGATTAAAATGGTTTATCTGTATGCAGGCAGGTCCAGCTCACAGCGGCTTCACAGGCTGGAGGTTTTAGGCGACTCTTTCTTTTAAAAACTCTTTTTTGTATTGCTTACTTGCTATTTTCTGAGAACAAACTTTGGGTTTTCTTCAGCTGTGAGTTAAAGTGAGCGGAACCCTTTCTGACGATGCGCTGGCTGAGGGGAGAGAAGCCCACCTTCTTGTGCAGAGCGATGTAGTCCAGCCGGACGCCCGTCTCTCCGGTGAAGTAGTTGGTGCCGTTGTAGCAGTGCTGCAGCATGGCCCAGCAGTACGGGGAGCGCGGCGGGGAGTGGCAGGAGTCTCCAGGACCTCCGAACCTCAGCAGCGGGCTGGCGGCGCGCAGCCCCTCCGAGCAGGCGTCGTAGTAATTTAGAAACCCTGCAGGAAAGCGGCTTAGACCGAGACCAGACCGAATTCATGAACACATCCGTCTGCGGCGGGGTTTACCTTGGACAGACATGGAGACGTTATCAAAGTCGTGGTTGTTCGGTTCGTTCCACGTCTCAAAGTTCCACTGGGAAACCGTCTCCAGACCATAACGCTCTGAAATTCAAACCAAACGGATTCAGGATGTTTTTTTTGTCCTGTTAATCTGCCCAAACAGCTGCTCTACTGGACTAATAAGAGATGCACCGATCCAGGCATCAGATCGCTGCATCTCTGCTTATGAAGCTACTGAGTCTACAAAACAATATAAACAATTTTACTCATAGTAGCTTCATCTGGTCTGTTCCTGTTTGGCTGTGACTCCATCCTGGAGAGAAATATCAGCTGTGCTGCTGCCATCAACAC